ACAGACAAAGGAAGTCAAAGCAAGTGTAAAATACTGTTTTGTAAGTAGAAAAGTCCATGTGAGTGTACACGTGCAAGTAGAAAAAAGTATTTCAAAAACCCCCAGAACACTTAACTTTTTAAAAAATTATTCTTTATTCCAAAAAGCAGAGCAAAGGCCTAAATATTTCAAAGGATTTCTTTTTATTTTTAAACCTGTGGCAAAGTGCCACTGATGGACCTACTTAACTGCATCAAGTCTTTTACTACTGGAAAACAAAACTCCAAGATTTGAAGTCCTCTCAAAAACACTACACGCTGCTGTGCCAAAAGAAACAACGTAGCCAAGATGAGTATTCAACATTAGCACTTTGGTTTTGGTGACTAGCAACATTCAACCTATTCTTTCCAGGTTATGGCATTTTGCAACAGAACAAAGAAAAATGGCAAGTATACATTTGTTTAATTTTAGCCCTTTTCTCAGAATATAAACCACTGCTACAGTAATTAACTGCAGACTGGCCTCAACTGCTCTGCAGCCATTCCAGCTTCCCAATTAAATGTGCTCTCACAGCCATAATAAAAATTCTGGGAAGCCTTTGGCCGAAGAGCGGGCTTCTCAGGAGAGCAAAAGTCAGGAAAAACTTCATTCACAAGGAAAACACTAATGATTTTTTTAAAACAAGCTCCGGATTTTTCTAACTCAGTGACATCAACTGCACCTTTTACAAAGATCACGCTTTTACAGGATGTTGTCCTCTGCCGATACATGCAACTTCTTCTATATTCCAAGGAGAGAAGGGGGGGGGAGAAAACCCCAGCCCGCGGTTTTCACCACTACTCTGCTGAATCAACACGGAGCAGATTCCCAGATGGCGCACGCTGTAAGTACGGCACAAGTCAATGAAGCTATGTCGAACCATACCACTCAACTGCATTATCTCTTGAGCTCCGTGTAAACAAACAGGAGCAGATTCCGAATATTTGTGAGAATACATCATGTTACTGTCTCCATATGTTTAAACATTTTAGTGGAAGGTACATATGGACCACTCTTCCCACTCACTGTCATTCTCTCCCTCCTGTTCCTCATTCCCCACATACGCCCTTATCTTTCCAGGCCACTGTCAAACCAATTCAAACAGAAATAAGGATACATTTTCATTAAAAACATTTTGTGCTTAGCTGCCATCTGCTTCCTTATCAGCCTCCAAATCCTCACATGCCTTTTCCATGGTCTTCAGTTTCACACATTCGGAAGCTGAAAGTTTTCTTCTGTTGTATTGTGAAGGCAGTCTACGTGAGCTATTGTTTTTTGTGTCAAATTTGCCTCTTTTGAAACAACTGCTTAATGCTTAAGGCCCTAATCCATGTTCTACCATGCCAATTTAAACCTACTTTTTTTTTAATAAAAACAGACTCTTGTCTGCTTACACAGAGGTGGCAGTTGAAGCCGTTGACCCTTCATAGCACGTTTGTCTTCCCCATAACCAGATCCCTAAGCCCTTCTTTCATCTGAGTAGGAAAGGAAGGCTTCAGCTAATACTTGGTCAACTTAACTGGGAGGTGGATGGAAAGCAGATGAACAATTAAGATGAAGTTAAAAAGAAAAAAAATCCACCCATACACCATAGATCTTACATATGGATCACTGCTAGTTTTGATATCACTTTCCCACATAAATAGTTTGCCTGGTTCACTCCTTAAGGGCCCAGCAAACTCAGAGGTGTCTTAGGTAGCATTAGGTGGACTTGTTCAAAAAAACAACACAAAGGTTGTGGTAGACAAAAGGATCCTACACTTCCAGACAGGCTTTCAAGGTTGTAATTTACATTTGGTTTCTGCAGGCTCCCAAAGGCCTAGTGACTAAGGCAGCAAACCTCAAAACTTAGTCATCAGCAAAAGGAATACAGAAAATAACTGAAGTTTTCTTTACAATAGATCAGGGGACAGGCAAAACGAGCGTGTCAGAGACTATGCTTTCATGGAGTACAGCAGGAACAGGTTTTCTGGTTCTCACTTCAGTCACTGAGTAAGATGCAAGCAGCTTCCATAAACGTGGCCAGCAATCACAACCGCCAGAAAAAAATAAAACAAAAGGCCATAATCTTATTTGTATGTCTGGACGCTCGGTTTTTATCATCTTTTCCATCTCCATCTGTGCCCCAAAGCACACCCACTGATGCAAACAACTTCAGCACTCTCCTTTTATGTTGAGGGATTCTTCCATGTGGAGCTGCAAGCCAAGCGAAGTACATGATATGCTGAAAGAAAAGGAGATGTAAGCCAGAGAAATGATAGCAACGCAAACCCAATGCAGCATGCCACAGCTCCGGAGCAAGCAAACAAGTGAGGCTGCTGCCTTGGGGCACTTGAAGGTAAAGGAATGTATACTACACAGAAACCAGGGCAACCAAACTGCTAGAGAAGCAGCTGACGCTTTAACACTGAACCTTAAAAAATAAATACAGAAAAAATGTGAAAGCTACAGCTTCTTTGTAGCTTGTTCTGCTGGAGAAATGTCAATGGATTATTTTAAGTCAAACGCAGCGTATCCTTCCCTCTCTCCTCCCTCCACCCTCAACATTGTTCCTACACAAGTTATATTGAAGGAAGCACGGGGTTCTTCCTTTGTTTGTGAGCAAGAAAAAGAAGGAAAAGAACAACTTCCACACAACGGCAAAACTAAACAGAAGCCAGGCTACTTAAAGTACTAAGTGTTCCCACACAACATTTACCCACCAACTCGAGATTTTTCAGTGTAAAACCTAAACAAGGACAAAAGAGATTTAATACACACTCCTCCACAGATCCAGAGCGAAGAAAAATAAAAAGGCATAAAGGAACCCTGAGTGACAGACAGCGTTTTCAGACTAACATCACTGTGACGCACAAGGAGGATGTCAGGGTTAAATTAAATACTACACTAGAAAAAATATTCCCTGGAAAATAACATAGGTCTCGTATCTCTACTGGGAAGAAAATGCAGATTTAAACACTCATTAAAGTCTTTGCTTCTATTCTCTCACATGTCATGTGTAATTTTGTACTGCGAGAGCCCTCTCCAGATCGGGAGTTCATTGCCAAAGCATCCAAGCAATCCAGCAGGATGTTCAAAGGCTTTTTGTGTAACTGTACATTTTTATCTCTCTTGTTTTCCTTCAGAACGGGAGTATTTTTGAGGTTCTTTTTTTAGATGAATGGCTGGCAAATTTCAAGTCTTCTTCCTTGAAGTCAGTGGCTTATCACGACAAACAGATTAAGTCCAACTTTCTCACACTTTTACTGATCAGATCTTGATCATTTATTTATGTACTCTTCATCTTAAGATACTCTAAACCTACACTGTTATTCCACTGTGTAATGCTCTTAAAAAGCCTTTCAAGACTCTTTTCCAATACTTGCTTTCTTCTTCACAATCTCCCATGAATGGAAGATGAAAGCACACAGGAAAAGAAAAACATTACCTAGACCTTTGCCTTAAAAGCGCTGCCATCACAGTATAACCATGACCTCATCTCATTTAAACAGATCTCTTCTCACGTGCATTCGGGACCCAAATTATTTTAACGTTCTTCTAGAAGTCAACAAGCTTTTCTTGCACATTTCTTTTGTTTACTCCAAATAGCCAGAGCACACAACAGAAAGCACAGAAGTTGTTGTATCTCATGAAATACACTCTACTTGCATCTATTTTAACCACTGAGGTCAATGAGGTTGCACTGGCATCACCTGTAGACGACCGAGTTACGCTCTTTAAATGAAGACATAAATTTGGCCTGCAGAAGCCTAATGACTCATAGCAACACATGGTAAGAAAACAACACAGCTCACTCCCCTCACCTGGGACACATCACAAAGTTTCCCAGTAACAGGCTGAGGGGTTTTCTTTTCTTTGTTAAAAAACAAGCTTTATTTAAGAATTTTATTAGGAACTTATTTAAGTATTTTTGATAGAAGCACACCTCTAAAAATGCCCTTTTTTCAGAGATATTTGTGAAATGTGTTGACTTAAACTGCCCTACAAGGTACTTAAATTTCAGTTCTAATTGAACATACAGGCTTCACAAGCAACTGATGAGCTACATTAGAAATAACAGCATTGCCAGCTGAAAGGAACATGAACACAGCCCACTTATCACACTCTGGTGCTTCCTATCCTTACAGCAGCTTTGGACAAGACTGCAAGTGGAATTTAGGAACTGTTCCTCCCAGTGATGACTGCTTGTAATTAAGCCCTACTGATACTGCGGGGCTCAGCTTTCATAAAGTTACATGATGAACTCCAAAAGCCTACCATGTAATCATGTTATTTGAGTAAACTATGTATTTGTTTGCTCTATTTTTAAAAAGCGAGAAGAGATCAGGTTTTGTTTTTGCTAATACTTGCTATCAGAAAGACATAAACCCCATCATGCCAGAGAAGAACAAAACAGGCGAGGATCATTTCACCCAGAGTCAAGATAACCATTGACTCTCTGACGCTACAGACTGTACTGTAAACACTGCTTTCGGTAAAACAGGCACTTATGTACAGAATTTACCATTACAGGAATTTCTGAAGGTGCACGCCAAGGGGTGGCAAAGAACAAACACAAAGCAAACCCGGTTAACAGCTTCAGGACGGCAATGACTGGCACACACGTAATGTCACTTCAGCAAGGAGGAGTGGATGGCATTTCACAGCCACCTCCTGCCAAAGTCCTCAAGGGAGGGAAAACTGGTTCCAGCTTTGCTAGAATGGCTTTAATTCTACACTTACTTTCCATTTTTTCCATGGGGAAGTAACTCTGAAAGCTTGTGGGGTTTGGTTGCTGGGGTTGGTTTGTTTGTTTTCAATCAAGTGAGGTGATCCGTTACTGGTTGGAGAGGAATCTGTGTGGTAACTGGATAACTCTTCATGTGGACTACACAAGACTAGAATAAAAGTTTAGGTTGCTAAAGAGCTTAAAATAAAACCACACAATTAAGCTTTTACTTCAAAAAGAGGTAATAAAAACACGCAATCTACTCAAATCTTACTTTTCTGGCAGTGGTTGGTGGTCCAGCAGCGGTAGTTGTACTCGTTGTTAATAGACGTCTTCTCACACAACGGCTTCTCTTCCATCGTTCCTGGACACAAGTCCCCACACTCCTTTGGAGGTTTATTCCCAACGATGTAGTTATTGGACACCGCATCGAGGATGAGAGACCAGTCCACCGTGGAGAGGTAACACAGGTCAGAGTTCTTCTCAATCCGGATGGCCCCGCGGGTTATGTTCCTCAAGTTGTGAAGTCCAATCTCTTTAAGATTTGTCATTTCAAAGATAACCAAGGCATAGTTGTAGAAGAGGTTCCTTCCACGAATGACTGTGAGGTTGGGGAAGAGATCGCTGAGGCTTTCCAAGCCCGCCACCCGGAACAGCAGCAAATAGTCAGTGATGACGGTGAGCTTTGGGAAGCGGAAGTTGCGGTAATCCTCTGCTTTAGGGATGAGCAGAATCTGAAGGAAACCTTCAATCACCGTACAGTTCTCCAGGCGTTTCAGCTCATGGATATCATTGCGAATGTCAACATTTGGCCCGCAAACTGAAAAAAGTAAAAGGAGAAAGGAAGTTAGCGAATAAGGCATTTTTAATACTTAGTTTAAAACTGGAATGCAAGTAGAATATTCTGATGGTCATAGTATTTTTAATTTCTTAATTAGGTTGCAATATTCAAATAGGAAATGAGTACTTGATTGACACCTACACTGAATATTCATCTCCTCTGACCTATCACTACAAACCCTACCAGGACCAGCACAGATATGCAAGCTATCCGTATTCTTCAGCAGAGAGAGAAATGTTGTTTTATTATTGCTGTGGAAAAGAGCTGCCTTAGATTGAGGAACGTAAAGATAACCCAAATGCATTTGCACACTGCTTCAAATTACATCATGACATGTGTGACCAGACATGGGGTTCAGCCACACGACTCCAAATAAGTTAGGCAATACAGAGTGTGATCCGCTGGTCATTACGTTACTTATTTACGCCCTATCCCCCCTTAAAGCACAGGCACATGAAAGGGAACACTTTCCAGAAAATTAACACTTATTTCTCAAATCACTCTTCCTTCCCAGGGTCAGAAGCCAAACTTAATTCTGAAATGTTGGTCTTGCAATAGATCAGCAACAACACAAAATCCACTGCAAGCTGCTCCGCGCTCCCTGCACCACAACTGGGGAGAAAAGGAAACACTTGGACCTGTTTGCGCGTTCCAGTGAACCAAGTTTCACTGATTTTGGCACCAACATACAAAAAGGTTTCTGGAGTTGTAAGAAACACAGGATAAATTTATTTACAAGAACACACAGCATCACAGTGAGGAATTTCCCCTCAAAACAGTAGACTGAACTCAATGTGCTCTCAAGAAAACAATGACCAAAAGGATTATTCCCTAATAAATCTATATATTACGTCTTTCCATATTAAACACATACCACAACACAAATTTTAAAAGGGCTGGAAGACAAATGTAGTAATAATGCAATAATTAGTCACATAAAATGCACTTTGATGTAAAACAAAGAACTACGGGGTGCAGAAAGCTGCTGTTCTTAGAAACCCTCAGAGTTGGTCTTCTGTAGAAAACATGGAAAAAAAGATTCCCCAGAATAGATGGTAAGTTGTTTGTAAGCAGACAAAGTAAAATGCCAGTTTATTTAAGCAACCCAAAACTTAAATAAACCCCAAGCAATTCAATTTTGTGGACAGGTTCTCTTTTTATGCATGCAAAGCTTAATTATTTTAACAACATCTTTCTCTCAGACCAGGAAAAGGTCTAAACAAACACTCGAGCCAAGAAAACTTAAATTCTAACCCAGACAAATTGCCCAGAGATTCAGAAATTGCACTGACAATAGAAAGCAGTCCTCCTATCCCACATCACTTATCTAAGCCTAATAACTTAAGCTAACAAAGGATCCAGAACATGAGCATGCTGAAACCACAGCAACTCTAATATCCGACAAGGACTTACAGACTTTTAAGTCTTTAAAAGACTACAGGACTTTCTGGCTAGAGAGACAATGTAAAAAAAAACCAACAGGGCGAGATCTTTGTTAAAAACCAGATGTTTTCTACACAAACTATTACTTAATCTGCCTTCTGTAAGGATCCAAGCTGAAAGCACAGGCTATTAAAAGGTGACTTGCTGCACTAGAAGCAGCTATGGGCAAGAAAGTTCATTTCCTAAACCTAAAAAAAAAACCCCAACCCCCCGTACTTATATTTTTTTCAAATTAATAATAAATAAATGAATAATAATAACTGTTTTCGGTTAGTATTTTTTCAATTAAACTCTTTTGGTTTCTGTCTCTACCTGCAGGACAGGGTGAACAGTATGGTTCCTGTTACAGCAAAGCAGAAGTAGCAGAATTTATTTTACTGCCATAAAATTTTAGAAAGCCTAAACTGCTCCAAGCCCTTTATTTTCTTAAAGAAATAAAATTTGCACTTGCGCTGACATTTTGTAGGCAAGGTTCCAGAGTGATGGGTTTAAAAACAGCTGAGTTACAATACCCTAAAGAACAATTTGTAAGAGAAATGGCAGCAACCGTTAACTGAAGCATTATATATCTGTTCATGTGCCTATTCTGAGGCTGGGCTTTAAAAGTCATATTGCTTTTAGCTTTATGTTTGTTTCAGCTTGAAAGTTACTTAATTTGAGATATTTAATGCTTTTATAAATCAATGAGATTTCTAGAACTTTATGGCAGACGTATGCACTCACTTCGTTCAGTTATGAAACATCATCCCCTTAATGCGGAAAAGGATAAAGTCCAGTGGGCTCTGGTGTTAGAAAGTGATTACAGATGACTGCGCTGCTGACGGTTTTGATTTAAGGACTTATTAGTTTATCTGGTGAGTTATGTTTTGCAGAACTTCACGCACATAATGAGAACTGCAGAGACCTAGACATGAAGTAGGACAAGCATCTCGGTCCATACTGACATTTGGAAAAAAAAACCTGTTCCAATTAAAGCAGACGGATCTTAATTTTTTTAAAGAAGTTTCTCTTAAAGTTCACATTGTTCACAAAAGTTCATTATACCAGAATGCATCATCCTGTTCTCACGTTTTTTCTCACTGCTCTGAAAAGGACTGCATGAAAAACAAATTAATCAGAACTCAAAGTCAACTACAGTTTCCATTTGGCTGTGCTGTGTTTTCTTTGGATCCCATTTTAGAGAAAGCTTATACGGACTTACAATATAAACTGGTCTGTCAGACAGAATGAAGTGCGCATAAAACGCTCTTTAGAGCACTAATATTCCATTTAATAGGTTTTTATACAGTGGAGGTTTTTTAATATGACCAGTAAAACTTGCCTTTGTTTCACATTTGATTCAGAACTGGATATTAACTTAGGTATTTGTTTTGCTCACTCACAGAAAATAAAGATGTGATATCTGTTTGTTACCCTGCCCCAATAGTTTTGGGTCTTGGATAGGTTATAAACACACAGGATAATTACCAATAGTCAGATTCATGCTGTTTTCATTCAGAAAAACCCATCCCATGTTACAGTCTTCCTGAGGACCTGCAGCCCATTCCTCGTCACACAGATCCAAGCCTCATCGTGTAACTGAGATGGGGTCAATGAACTACCAGGAAAAGTGATTGCACATAACAGGTTCATATGAGGGTAATTAATGCTACGCGCTGCCTATTCCTTCATCTGGCAGCATCTCCTGGCAAGGCTCCTTCCTCGGTGCTGCTCCAGGCTGGGGCACCAAGGAGCAGACGAGGCAGTGAACAGCCGCTGAACACCCTGTGTGGCACAGGGGCAGCGAGGTGACACCACCAAGCACACACAGATTGGGCAGACTGAAGCGAAGCTGTGTGTGACACAACAAACTCAAAGTACAGTGATCCCGTAGTTTCTTCTCGACCTTAACTATGATTTCCTAATGCACATTTTGATCATAAAAAAACATTCTGACATGGGGAAGAGTTTTGTCACCTTCAGAAACACCAGCTATTTCATCATCATCTATCATCAAATAATCATTTATTCCATGCAGCAAGTCTTTATTCTTTTCATATATCCACTAGTTATTTCAGGTCACTATCTACTCATAAAGGCCTTGTCTGCTGCCTTTCAGCGTTTCAAAGGAACCAGTCTTTTTGCAAAATGGCATGTAACACAACTTCTGCTTGCTACAGTATGTCACAGGTGTACGTGTACTCACAGCAGTTAATTCGTTATCAATACTCAGATGTTAGAGGGCAGGATTGAGAGTTCACACATTCACTGTTTTTGACAAGAGAAAAATTCACTTCTCACAAGAAACCTTTCATTGTGGTGATAGTTGTTGCCTCCCAATTTTGTACTCCTCCCAGCTACTCCATTTAAAACTTCTAGAAGAAAAGAACTGTGTCGGTTTTGCTTGAAAAAAAAATATGCACCTTCATATTTTAAGCCTTGCCTTTGGCCCTTTAATTTTTGGGTCACGTTAACAGATTGTACTACTCTGAATGGTCTCAGTACCCTCTCAACAAGCCAGAAGTAAAAGATGAAGCAACCATCACTATGTGGCTCTCTCGGCACCAAAAACCTTAGACAAGGCAGCTCTGAGTCACCGAGTCAACCCAGCACAACCCTTTCACAAGTCTGAGGCCATCTCAGCCTAAACCTGCTCCAGCTGGGTCAGGCTTTCCCTGGCAACAGAGACCTGTTCAGCCTGTGCAGACATTTACATTTCTGAAACGGGAATCAGGAAGGACTGCTTGCCATTACACCTCACCAGCAATCCTGACATCAACTCCTCTTCACCCTTCTGGTTTGTATACTTATAGCACATTACCGAAGCAAGTTAGGATTTCCCTTTGTTTTCCCTCTTTTGACTTCCCTCCTGTGAAAATTGTTTCCTTTACTTTAGAGTAGTGATGTGAAGCTTTATCTTAAATGAGGAGCCTGGACACCTTCAGCTTTATCATTTAAAACAAAACAAAACAAAACAATCAAAAAACCCAAAAAAACCACCAAACCCCAGACCCACACACTTACCCCCTTGCACTACTTGCTGAAAGGAGCAGAAATTGTTCTAACCCCATACTGTCTCCCTGCCCAGAGGTCCCTGAGGACAAAGTCTGTGATCCACAAAGTTCAAAAGCTTTTTTCCTTTAAGGGAGGGCATGAGGTTGCTCAACTTCCCATCTACCCTGAAGTTCTGTACAGTGGTAACAAGTACAGTATGTTACCATCAGCGCTGGATGGTTTCCTACACAAAGAAGGAACTACAAGGCCTAATACAAAACCCAATTGTGGGTAGTTCTACTTTTAGCAGAGCAGCTTGCTCGCACCACCACAAGAAAAATCTCACTTTGCCAATAATGGCTTTTTCCGAGCACACTCCACTTCAATGAGAGGTCTGCTTTCCCAGACAGCTACTGCTGCTCTCTGGTCTGCTAAGGGCTGGTATTACTGACACAGTAACATCGCTCTCTCCCAAACTCCTCTAATGAAAGAGGCTTGACCACGTCATCCTTCAGTAATGTCAGCACAGAGCTGTGGGTCTTTCTGGGAGATCTTCCGAACAG